GGCACAGCAACAGCTACTTTAAGATTTATTGGCCTACATACTATGTGGATAGCTTTTCTCCTAGGCATGAAAATTTTGTCCTTTTTAAAAGTTTTGGAAGAACACTATGGTGCGCACACACACACACACACTCTCTCTTCCTAACCCACTTGCTTACAACTCCTCCTCCTTATACCCGTGACATTATTGAACTTATTTCCTACCCATTTACATTTTCTTATTACGTTATTCCTCAGGGCTAGGATATAGCTCACAAGTTCACAAATCCAAACAAGTGAGCCCTGTATTTGAAAGAATCAAGCCCACTCTCAAACTGTCGGTAAGGCTGATATCCTCAGTGAGCATGCTTGATTTTCAGCACTTTGCAGCGCAGTGTGGCGCTTCACACAAAACAGCCATCTTAAAGCCCTTCCCTTCTGAAACCCCACATCAAACACTTTCAAATCTGGGAGATAAAGTGGTACCTTTGGAACATCGCTTTAAACACAGCGTGAGCCCGAACCCTCCACCTCTGCTTGTTCCAACAAAGCGGCTCGATTAATAACAGACAAATCAGAATCAAATGATTGGCAGATTGAGTGCTAATGGGTCGATGATAATAAAAGAAGATAGAGAGCTTCTAATGACGCTTCACCCCTAATGGCATTTTGCTGGGAATTGTCCTTATTCTGCGCCATTAAGGGGGGTCGTGGGGGTGAGGGCCATGATTCGAAGGGTCCTACATGAACATAGAACATGAATTATGTCAGGAAATTATTAGGGATCCTAATAATATTTTAGTCTCTTGGGATTTCATGAATAAATTATGGTGTGATTGTCCATTCCTTTTGTTGTTAAAATCATTCAGGTTGACTTCACATCAAACCACTCAGTACAAACATTGAATGGCTCAATCCTAGTTGCCACACTGTAAATGCTCCGTACTTGTATAGCGCCTTTCTAGTCTTTTAGAACTGTAAGAACTAGCTGACAGTCTGTCTCTGTGTGTACATAGTGTCCCCCAGTCAATGTCTGAACAGCGTGTCAAAATCAAGGTGCCAGAAAAGGGCTGAAAGGAAGAACAAAAAAGGGAAACAATAATATACTGGCTTAATGTTGAAGCCAGTCACAAGCTACAGTACAATGGTGGTTTCAGAATATTATCCACTTACAACATTCTTAGTCATTACATTTAGTTTAAATAGCCAAAATCAATACTTAAATCAATCAATTCTCCCCTGGATGAAAAATGCCAGGCTTTGGGTTAAAAGTTAAACCTCTACTTCTGCCAGAACAGACATTGAAAATAAATAATTATTAGCACAATAATAATTCAATGTTAACCCCAAATGAGATTTAAACTTGAACATTATAGACAATACAGAGAGAGACTGCTACAGTCCAGAGTGAACCTTCATGTTGCGTGCGATCTATCCAAGTGTGCGAACCATGCCCCAAAGATATCTGTGGAGAAAGTAGTTTAATGAAAAATGCCTCTTCCATAAAGTAACAAGAATGAATGGGGAAGAGGTTTTAAACAAGAACAACCAAATGGGGCTCACCAGCAGCAGGTAACTGTACAGTTTATTTATTTAAACACCAGGGCTGCTTTAGGGTCTCATGCCTTCCAGAATGGGCGTCGCCACATCTGATTGGCCCAGAGGGAATCACCCAGCCGCACTCAATCCTTGCTGAGGTGCAACAGGTGCTCTGAATGATCCCTAATCATGAACCAGAGTAGTGGATTCGTCCAGATAAATGGGATATATAAATCAAAATAGCAGGAAATACATGCTCCTGCCAGAGCTCTAAGGTCAGCAGACCAGCTCCTTTTGAGTGTCCCTAAAAGCAGGCTCACCACCCGAGGGGACAGAGCCTTTTCAGTGGCAGGACCACGGCTGTGGAATAACCTACCCCTTCATGTTAGATCTGCACAATATGTAGATCAATTTAAAAGCAGGCCAAAAACACACCTGTTCTCTTTAGCTTTCAACACAGAATAAGCAGGTTACATTGGCTGATTTTTTTATTGTTATTAATTATTGTGGATCAAATGTGTTTTGCAGGTGTGTAGCCTATATGGATGATCCAAGCCCAATATTACATTCTTTCATAGGGTCCAAAATATCTGGCGGCAGCGCTGATAACAGCACAACTACAGAAAGAGCAGGGGCCCATTTCAGAAAGGAAGTTAAGTGAAAACTCTGAGTATGTAAACCCTGAAATGAGGGAAACTCTGGGTTTTCCATTTCAGAATGGGAGGTATGTTAAACCTGAGAAAGCAGAGTAAGTCAAGCCCATTTCTGAAAGAGAGGTAACTTATACTCAGAGTCAGTTACCATGGCAACTTACTCTGTGAACCTAACCTGGTTGGGAGCAGGTTTTATTCGGTAAACCCAGAGTTTCTTTTGGTCTCCTCCCCTTTTTTAAAGAGGAAGCGGTGTCAAACATCTCATTGATTCTTTCGGACATTCATTCATTGCGCACATTTCAGTCACGAAGAGAGTATCAAAGGGAATGAAATGGCATGTCATTCTACGGACGATCCTGTTGATGAAGAGGCTGTATTAATTCGTAGGGAGTTACATTTCCAGCAGCGCTTCAATGTGGCACACTCCAGGACGAGAGCCCGGGTGGAGATGACCATAGGCCTGTTGAAAGCACGATTGCAGTGCCTACGTTACCTCAGGGTAACCCCTGAAAGGGGTATAATAATATTGCCATAATCAGAGGGAAGCAACACTCTGCCCTACAATTACAAGACCCTGAGGACATCAACCCTGCAGATTTCCAGGATGGAAGGGTAGTCCGGGATATGATATGCCACAATGTCTAAGATTAATCATGATATCCACCACCACAAAAACAAAAATGAATAAACACAAAATCACAGCAATTTATATGGTGTTCTTCCTCCCCCCCCCCCCAAAAGTTAGATTTTAATATAGTTTCAATACTTCCTGGAATTCACCTGTGACCAGACTCTCACCTCTAGCTTTTGTTTCAGAATCTCGATTTCCAGATCTGCCTTTTGGATCTGGCGGTCCAAGTATACAAGTTCTTTGCTGTTTTTTTCTTCTTATCTTTTTAATAAGAAGTCTATAACTCCTTAACTGGCAACTGAAATTTTTAATTAATAGTAGATTAGAGTTACATCATGTAGTTCTAAAATTCAGAAATTAAAGTGTGGCATTTACTGTAAATCACTGAACTGTGTTCATCTGTGCACCAGAAGTTGATGGGCCTTCCTCCTGCTGTCCACACTCTGGGGGGTAGAGATAATAATGACCATTTATAGATATAAACTTAGATTCTATAGGCTACTCCACATAAAAATGTGAATAAATGTGAATGTGTAGATTGTTTGATGTGTAGACACAAATGGTTTCTTCATCCCCATCATCCTGTGAAGATGAGCATTTCATAGAGTACACTTTATAGAACTATTTGTCATAATTTATGGTGTATTGAGAAGGCTACTTACAACTGCCTGGGGTTCTGTTGGGACAGGAGGCTCCAAGAGACAGATATTACCATCCCAATCTGTTGGGACCAACAAAAAACCCAACCCAAAGTAATATAAATGGAAATATCACAAACTCTATATAAAAAATAACACATACTGTGGGTAGAGCTCTTACATTTTATGAAGGCACTTAAATCTTCTGGAGTGACTGGCTCTGAAGTCCCTCCAGGAACTCCCTCAGCCATTGTCCTTCCCGCATTAAGGCTCAGGGCCATCTCCTCTGCATTTGTCAGAGGTGGTGGTGCAGCCCCCCCCCTTTCTGTTGGCTGAGTAGTCAAATGAGAATGAACATTTAGACACACTAATATGTCAAATATTTGTAAAGCCAGGTACCCTACACCTGTGATATGCTCAAGGCTTACTGATTGAATTATTGAGTCCACGTTCTTTTAATGCCTGCAGGATTGCACCTATACATGAAAATTAAATTAATAGGTTTAATAAAATACTGTTCTTCCAGTTTCACGTCTGATATTATGACAGTTGAGTTAAAATAGTTCTTAATTACTAACTACAAATTACATCTTCATCAAGTCTAATTAGATTAATGTAATAATTACTATCTCTAGAAAGTATTGGTCTACTTACTAATTTTGTCTACTTATTAATTACTTTCTAAATCCCAAATCAACCTCAACCACTTGAATAAGGAGAGACAAGAAACTGCACTTCTAATGCTTTCAAATAAAAAATATACAATTGCATGAATTATTCTTGAATTGACCAAAGTGTGTAACTAGAAGGTTACATTAAAAATATACCTTTTAAAATTTGATGTGAAATCCACTATTGTTTTATACAGAATTGTTTTAATTAAATTACAGTATTTAGATAACTTAGTAATTAATTGCACCCAA